CATCGACAGTAAAGCCTTTGGAAGGGATGAACCACTTTTTTGCATGAAATAGATATACTACCAATGCTAACAACTCAAAGAGGCACTTTACCTGAACTTTGCAGGAAACCTTCACAGGATCTCCAAGCTCAGGACGAAAGCCTACAATCTATCAAAAGAAAACCAGCATTGTTTTTCTTTAATAAAACAAAACAAAAAACAAGACAGATTCGACAGTAAAAATGGGGCTTTTATAAATCCCCTTGAGTCATCCCTTCCTTAGGCATAAACTTAATCTATTTTGCCCTCTCAGAAATGTTACGAAAAGCAGGAAATGCAAAATATCTTCAGAGCTATGCAGCTCAGCTTACTCCTTGTATTTGTGCTTGGTAATCATATAGTGGTAACTGCCCCAAGATAACCTCAAATGTAAAAAGAAAGAATTTTCTGGTTTCAAGAGGTGTGTGCCTGGTAAGGATCTCCCATACCCAAGGCATGGCAAGAGAAAAGGAAAATGCATTTCTTGTGATATGAGATTGTCCCCCAACTCACCCCTAAGTCAATCCCCTGTTACAAACAGCTCAGGATCTCTTTCCTGACAGAAAGCATCAAAGGGCAGATTTGAAGGTGTGGGAGAAGAATGGTGTAGGAAGTGCTTAAGGAGAAAAATAACTATTGTTTGATCATTTGTCCAGTTGTTTATATTACTGATGCTGTCAGTAAAAATGGCCAAACTTGCAATGTGTGAAGACAGAGCCCAAGAGAAATGAAGTGTCCAGAGCCCTCCTACCCAGCTCATCCACTTATCATTGCCAGAGTGTCAAGGGCCAATATACCCTGTTCATCTTTAGAAGGATGCAGGGCTGTCCAGTAGAGTAGCCAAAAGTAGAATCCTCCAGGCCAGAGCAGTTCTTCAGGAAGGAGCGCTTAAATTGGCAGGCCTTCTTGTCCTCATCTTCATTGCCATCTTGAATGAAGTACTGCCCCGGGGGACAATCTACATTCATTTCCTCTTGAAGACTGTCATTATAACCTAAAGTGTACATAGGTAGCAAAGGGTCATGTTAGATGGGTGCTATAGAGGAGGGCCATGTTTTCAGCAGTAGTCCTCCCTAGTTTCCTTTTTCAACTCATGTGTCCTCCTCAGAAAGCCCACTCAATCTGTGCTAGGCCCTGGGACATAGCATCAGGTGCCTAAGCCCCTTCGTCATTAACATGCCTCGAAGAAGCCCTCCGGGTTAGTCTGCTTGGCCCACTTTGATTGCCTGCCCCCTTGCTTCTTGTTCCCTCAGAACTTCTGGATATCCATCTCTGGGTTATATGTTGGTCACTTTACAACCTCTACTTTTCATTATCTCTTTTCAGATACGGTAAATTGTAAATGTGATGGGCTGCCTCTTCTGTTTCTGGGAGAGGAATAGGCACAAAGTAGGCAGATTTGGGGAGGGACTGAATTATGTCAAGGTATGGCATATATAAGGAGGCAGAGATCCTGGGTTAAATCAGCCTAGGAAATATCTCCCTTTGAGGTCAATGAGAGACACCTTATGCAAGAGAGTGAGAAGTGTGTGTTGTGGGACAGGAGGAAGGGGGAGGAAGAAGATGGGGAGGAAGAGGAGGAAAAAGAAGAGAAGGAAATAAACCAGCTTCTCATTCTTTATATTCTTTAAGTTAATACTGCAAAATAGAAGCTTAGGTTGAAAGACAGAAACCAATGACAACCATAGCATCTCCACTGAGAGAGTAAGGGAGTGAGATCTTGTTTACTAAGACCTGAAGAACTCAGATATAATTGTCCCTTTACATTGGATGAAATGTAACATATGTCCAGGGAATGAGCTGAAAGGGGCTATCTGTGAGCTGACTCTTTGGACTATAGATGCCATAGATCTAGGCTTTGGAAATTACTGGATTATTTCTAATATGGTTCTAAATGATAGAGTCAGGTAGTCCTGTTAGATCCAGCCCCCATGCATTCATGTTCCAAGTAGCTCAGTTTTTCCAAGGAGATTGTGTACCTATGATCTACCAGAGGCAAAACTTCAATGTACTGCTGGATCCTCGTCTAGACATGTTTGTGACCTGAGTTTGATATTATCAGAAAGCAACTGAGAATTTTAAATCTATTCCAGTTATGGCTAAGCCTTTTTTTATTCCTCAAAGCTATATTCAATCCCAGGTTTTGTTTAAATCATTTTTTTTTTTGGAACAAGAAGTATGTTCAAATAATAACTTTCTAAATAGAAGCTAATCATGTGCTCATTGTTTCTCTTGAGGTGGGTGGTTCTATTAAAAATAATGTGACGTGGGTATGACCTTTTTGGCAAAAGCCCAGTCTTCATGAGAATGAAATTGATACTCTGGGATGTCTATTTCAGAGATGTGTTCCTTTTAAACAGGGAATATTATCTATGCTTAGGAATGAAAAACTCAGTGCTTTTTCTAATGTTCCCCACCTCTGTCATCAGGTCAGAATTGGTATTTCTCCATCTACTAGCTTCTCAGAGGGATTTCCTCATCAGAGATTCTGGCAGTACATTTGCAATAGCTCACAAGTATTTTGAAAGTAAAGAAGATATTGTGCTGGCTCTGCTATCCAAGACATATGGGAGGACAAAAATGGAACTACTTGGACTTAGAAAGATCTAGTTCCCCTCATTTTACAGGCGAGGAATTTGAAGCTTAGACTTACCCAAAATAACACCAACCATTACTGATCCAAAGTTGAGCTTCTAACTCCTGGCTATATGGCAACAGCAAAGAATTATGAGAAGCAGCACTTCTCAAGCTTTAAAGGGCATAAAAATTCACTTGTGGATCTTGTTAAAATGCAGATCCTTATTCAACAGGTCTGGGGTGGAGCCTGAGAGTCTGTCTTTCTAACAAACTCCCAAGAGATGCTGATGTAGCTGGTCCCTGGATCACTCTTTGAGTAGCAAGAGTGTCAAAAACATGGATGTGGGTTTAAACACTGGTTCAGCTGCTGGGAAACTTTGATCCCATCATTTCCCCTTTCTGAGCCTTAGATTCTGCTATGCAGGGTTAAAGTTAAATGACAAAATTTATGCATTTAAATAATACTTCCTGCCACATAAGAAATTGTTTTCCTCTTAATTCAGTGCACATTCTACTGGTCACACCCAACTACCCCCAACACACACACACACACACACACACACACACACACTTTGGCCAGGCCAGACCAACCAAATTAGTCTAACTGGCTTTTTTCCGCAAATCATAGATCAGTAGTGTAAACCCACTGGAGTTCCTCTTTGATAGCTGGACAAATACAGAGGCTGTGTTCTCTATATTTAACCCTAACCAAGCTGCTACCTCAGTTTTCACCCTTTGGAAGAGCTTCTCAAAAAGTCATTCATTTGTTCCTGAAAATATATATGATGACATTATAGAGATAAGCATCTTGAAAACACTTCTGATCAAAATATTGGAGTGTCTGCCACCCAGAGATTCTCCTTCTAACTCCCTTCTGGAATGCTGTTAAAGACCTTTTCTCTCTTACTTCAAGATGGCCCATCTCCACAAATGAATTCTATTACTTTGAGAAAGTATAGGAAACAGGAATTTTCCAGTTCTGGAGAATACTCTTCTTTTCTCACCACTACCTCCTCCCAGAATTTTTTTTATAATTGATAATTATTGAGCCACCTGAGCATGCCCAGGATATAACTAGGTGCTGTAGGATGTTCAAGAAGAAAAGACAACTTTTCTGCCCCAATGGACTTATCATATTGCTGGAGAGTTGGTTTATATGCTTTCGATGCGATATACAACCATATTGCAGTTTTGATTGTATCTACAGGTGCTGAGGGGTATGCAAGGTAAGGAAAGAACAGGATGGGCTGGGGTTAGTAGGAGTGAGATTTCTGTGCCAGGCGAATTTTGGAATTTGAATTCCCACCCATCACCTTTCCAGAGAGATTTCCACTATTGATAAGAACTTACTTACCCTGGAGAAAGCCATTTAGGCTAATCACATAATGCTGCCAAGTGTCAGGTTCAGAAATGTTGAAGTTGAAGTTAAGGCTATGGGCGAAGGGTCTGATCATAACTCCTGGCAATGAAAACAGGTCTTGGATATATTAACCCATTCTTGGGATAATTTTTTTGGTATTGATTCCCATGAAACCATTTCCCCCCAGGCAATCAAAATGAAAAGGACCATAATTTGCCAAGTACCATTTTACTTTTACTCTTAATAATTGAATCCCTAAGTCATTACCAGGAAGAGCCAAAGTTAATTGGGGCTGAACATGCTGTGCAAGCAGATTTCTGTCCAGCAAGTTCTGACAACACAGGGCATTTGGGCACTCACCAGGAGGCTTCACCCTCTCAGTGAAGGTTGGCATGTAAGGACCGATGGTCAGAAATAGCATGTACATGCAGAGGGTGATCGCAGCAGCCAAGGAGGCATAGAAGAAGAAGTAAATGACTAAGATCAGGCCTGCAGAACAGAGATGAGAGTGGTCAGTGCTTGCTGACAAGCTCTACCTCCTCACTTGAACTCATGAACCAGAACCAATTCAAACACATGAATTAGCTTTTTTTTTTTTTAATTCCCAAGATTCAGTATATCCTTGCTCATTCAGATTTCATCAATTTGGAATTGGTGAGAATTGTGTCAGAGGTCTGATTGCAGTTTACCTTTACAGCGTCTCCTACCCTTACAGCAGGAAGGGCCTGCTGAGCAAATGGTGACCATGAACAAGATTACAGGGGAGTGGATTTTAAAGTACCACAGAGGACAAATTGCTTGAGAGTCCTCTGGGCAACAGTTGATATCCTAAGCACAAATCATTCTTTGCTATTTACTAAAGCTGGTGCCCTGAAGAGTCCTAGCAGCTTGATTCTAGTGATTATATGTATTTGCAAGGGATGAAAACAGCACTTCTTTTTCACAAAGACTATAATTCAAACTTTTGATTAATTTACATGGACCCTATTTATTTCAAATCTTATTCATCTTTAGCAAAAGTGGCTCTGCTTTTCAAAAAGAACACTAACACAGGACAGGGAGGGGAGGAGGAAACAGTACTTAATTATTGACACTTGCTACCTGTGAGCACTACCTGTGAGCTTGGACAAGTTACAGAACCTCTCTGCACCCCAGATTCCTCGCAGGTAAATGGGAATAAGTTTAGCACTTACCTCATATCCTTCTCTATATCTGTAACAGTACAGTAGTGCCCTCTTATCCATGGTTTTGCTTTCTGTAGTTTCAGTTACCCGCGGTCAACCACGGTCCAAAAATATTAAATAGAAAATTCTCAAACTAAACAATTTGTAAGTTTTAAATTGTACACTGTTCTGAGTAACAACATAATGAAATCTCACACTGACCCACTCTGTCCTGCCCAAAGCATGAATCATCCCTTTGTCCAGAGTATCCATGCTGTATATGCCGTGTGCTCATTAGTCACTTAGTAGCTGTCTTAGTTATCAGATCGGCTGTCAAGATGTCGCAGTGCTTGTGCTTATGTAACCCTCATTTTAATAATGCCATGTTCACATAACTTTTATCACAGTATATTATTATAATTGTACTATTTTATTATTAGTTATTGTTAATCTCTTACTGTGCTTAATTTATATATTGAACTTTATCATAAATATGTATATGTATTAAAAAACATAGTATATATAGGGTTCAGGCATATCCGTGAGGGATCTTGGAATATATCCCCTGTGGATAAGGAGAGACTACGGTACCTGAAATTCCATCTTTCCTTGCATCCTATCCTGACCTTACCATTTCCTAGCTGTTTAATCTTAGACATGCTGTTCACCTCTTTAGACCTCAATTTCCTCATCTGTAAAATAAGGACAATAATAGTGCTTGAATAATGCATACAAATAGCATAGCAGCATAACTGTTTGATAAAGGTAGAATTAAAAACTAACACATACATATAAATACATGCTAATCACAAAATAAGAGTAATAAAAATAAAATATTCCTAAAATTATGAAAAAAATGAATAGCATAACACAGAGCTTGACAGATACCAAGTGCTCTATAAATGGCAGTCTTTGTTGTTAGTATTAATATTATTGTTGCTGTAAGACCAGAAGCATAGTTGTGTGAATTCCTCCTCTGTGGGCTGTATTAGGATTAGGTTTGCCCCAGGATTAGGCAGCACAGAGTGAGGTGAATGAGAACAAAATTGTTGCTGAGAAGCTCTTTTCAAGTCCTCCTTGGGGCTATCTCATTCAACAATATCTGGCTCCACTCACAACGGTGACATGATGTTGGAACTGCAGATTTGAACTGAATCATCAACCAGAAACTAGAACAAACCACATAACTTTGCTGTACCCAAAACTGAATCCAAATATTAACTTTTAAATTGAACCATGAACCAAATAAAATTAACCAAAAAATGATTGGAGAAAGGGAGAAGAAAATCCTTAGTAACTGGATTGGAACCTCTGTGTTTTATAAGATAAACTAAAGCAGAACTGGAACATGAACACACTGATTCAGCTGAAGTCCCTGGAGAAGAAACAGTAGCACCTGTGTGCCTGTAATATTTGGCTACTGCCTACTGTCCTAATGAGATGTACCCTGTGCCACCTCCTCCATTCCTTTCCCTTCATCTCCATCCTTGGAGATGCAAGGAACCATGTTTCTTGCATGAAAGGAAAGCAATAGAATACAGGTAACTTCCCTTGGAGATATCTTTCTTCTTGCCCAGGACATGTGGCCAGGAAGCTGTAGATGGGAGAATGGCATTAGCAATGAGTCCCCTCAGCCTTACCCAGGAGGCTGTGCCCTGGGAGTCTATGATAGGCTAACTGTCTCAGCCACATACCCTAAGGTAAATCCAAGCACCATACCCATCTGAACCCACTGACCCCTCCAACTGTTTGTGCTCTGGATGTCCAAGTTGTGCTTAACCACTCCTGTGGGTAATCCAGGGTTCTCTCCTGAATGCCCCACCCAAACTTGGGTAGACCTGGATATCTTGGATAGACTAGATCCCAACTCTTCATTCCTTCAATCAAAACACCCCATCAGTTCCTGAGGCCCTACCCTTCAGGGCCTTGCTAATTGCTATAGTTCATGAAGACAGTGTGGTGTTGTGGCAAGAGAATGAACTCCAGTGTTCATCCAACCTGGGTTTGACTCCCAGTGCTGCCGCTTATTAACTATATGACTTTAGACAAGTTACTTACCCTCTCTAAGCCTCAGTTTCTGCATCTGTAAAATGGGGATAATAATATTACTACCTCATATGGTTCTTGTCAGTATCCAATAAAATAACATATAGTTCCTACGAATAGAGGTTGCCCAGCTACCAAAGGAAATGCACAAATATAATAATAGGCAGGTTGCCGTCTAGGTTCAAATAGGCACCTGGTTCTTAAGCAAGAGGGCAACAAGGCATATGCTTATTGGCCTATGGATTGTTCTCCATGGGAGCAATTTGGATCAGCTCATCTGGTGAAGTTCCAATGCTTGGCTGTTTAAAGGTTAGTGTAGGGCACCCTCTTTCAGAATTACACTTGCATTTCACAAGGCTCATTTTTCCAGTCATCTTTAGGCAACGGAGAAACAGCTGTGCCCCCTGTGGAGCCCCAGTGAGTGTCCAGTATTTGTCCGTAGCTTCCAGAATATTGGAACGTTCCTTGAACGGTACATTTGTTCTAGCTGAGAGTTCAAAGGATGGGCATGGGTGGGACTGAGAACTGAGGAGGGGTGAAGGGAGGTAGACATTGTTCAGAGCCCCACACCTGCTTGCTATTCCTAATTTCAGGAATAAGGGCTGGCTGTTGCACTCTGAGCTGAATTAGAAACAAACAATGAGGGAGAGAATTCTCAGCCAAAGGGGACTCTAGAGGGCATAACAATCAATTTCAGCAACCTAGACCCTCGGCACTGGGGAACTCTTATTTCACCCATGGCATCCTGTATGTTTTTCTTCTCCTGCACATTAACTGAGTTCCAAACTACCAGCTGCTCTTTTTCTGGGCTGTGCAGAGAATGCGGCAAGTGTGAATTTGACCACAGGCAAAATTTCCTGAGGAGAAGGCTCAGCACTAGTAGTTCAAGAGGTGAGTAAGACCCTGGGAGAGGAGTGCTGGGGAAGTTGTAAAGTAAAAGTGGTGGCAGCATGTGGTACAAAGAGGAAATGATAAGGAATGTGATTCTGCCATTGATCAAGCAATATCGGGGTTCAGCCTTAATCGCTGGAAATTATCCCTTTAAACCTAATTTCCCTGCGTACACCATGGGAGCACAAAGCACCCACAAGCTGGGGCCAGGGGCAGGCCTCCTGACTCTCCTTCTCTGACATTCCTAGGTGAAATGACGAGGCTTTATAAACCCTTCATCAGGTTAGCAGGGACCTGGGTCTCCTTTCCTAGAAATAGTCTTCTACATACTACCTTCAACTTTACAATTTTAACATCTTATTGGAGCCTCCGGCTGATCCTGTGAGAGAGGCAAGGCAGGGATTTGTTTCTCTCATTTGGCAGGTGAAGATACAGAGGCTCAGAGAGGGTAAATGATGAGCCCAAGGCCACAGAGATAGAAAGTGACAGGTCTGGGACTTAGAAAATTTTCTGTGCTATCCCATGTCATTCTTGCTGTCTCTCTGCATTGCAAATGATTTTGAACCCAGCGGATTTCAGCTACACAATCAAGTTTGTTCACCATTTGGAGTTTGTTCTGATGGGATCTACCCATAGCTCAGGCATTTCCTGAGGTGTTGGTCCTTTTACATGATATCTAAGGGGAGTTTGCAGACAAGCCCACCCAATGTATGGTAAAGGAGTCCTGGACACCAAGCCTAAAGGAAAGGACATCTGACTGGAGTATTGGGACAACTGGGACTTACTCCAACTCTGACCTGTTCGGGCCAGAGACATCCTTTTCTCCGGATCCCACAGGTATTCATTCATGATCTGCAATTTCTGCCACCAGGTGTTGCCTGTTGGCTGACCCTGACCCTCTTCCTCCTCCTTTTCCTCCTCTTCTTTCCGCTCTTCTTCTTCCTCCTCCAAATCAGGTACCGCCATCACCTGAGCCTCTTCTTCTGCTTCTTCCTCTTCATCTGCTAAGTAGTTCTGGTTCACTTCATCTTGATCATCCTGGAACAGTGACAAAACACAATAGCACATTCTACCAGCCACATATAAATGGAAAACAACTCAATATTTGGAGATGCTTCAAATTTCTACTTTCCCATAAACATACCCATTGTTACAAGAGACAGATTTTCTTTCCTTTCTTTTGAAGGAAATAGTCATTCTATGACCTATTTTGACCTAATATCCTTTTCCATAGAGATGCAAATTTTGTTCTCAGCTTCAGGCATTATGGCTCTTCCCCAAGGACTGCTCCTGTCACTACTCTTTCCTGGGTCCTTGGCCTTTCTCTTCACTTTGTCTGGCTTGTCAGGGCAGAGCTGAGCTCAGAGCTGGAGGATGGAGTAGTTTTATACACCTGTGTCTGTGCTGGGAAATTCTCAGTCTAAACCAGCTTCATCCTTACACCCTGTACACTTTTAGCTGCTCCACTTTACCATCCCAAGTTGTGGCTAAAAACAGCCTGGGATAGACAGCAGGCAGAGAGGCCAACTGCTATACCCCTCCTCAAAATTTAGACTGCCTTCCCAACAGTAACAAAAGATAGGGGGTTATTTGCTGCTTCTCTGACTGTTACCTGTTCTGGAAGCTCTTTCTGCCTTAAGCTGGTCGAACAGACCACTTGAGAGCTAGGACCCCAATTGATATTTCCTTAGCCTCCACCCTGCCAAACCCCATATTCTAGGCAAAAATCTGGACACGTAGTAAGTGCTCAGCACATATTTCTTGATTGTCTGATTGTAGCCATTACTTGAGGTCTGAAACTGTAATCTTCTCTGAGTGATTCTAAGAAAATTAAACAAAAAAAGAAAAACCCAGACTTCACCAAGTGGTATTTCAAATGCCTCCCAGCCACAAGCTAGAGAGTTGGATCTTTGCTCTTTGTGGGTCTGCTAAGGCTCGCTGCAGCAGCAGAAAATGAAGCCACCCTCCCTCCTCTTTGCTGTCCAAATCTGAAGAGTGGCGGGGCCTGTGCACCTGTTGGGGTTGGATGTGTGAAATGATAGAGACCAGGGGTTCCATGCTGCTCCCTCCCTGCCTGATTCATTGAAGGCCATTTAGAGGACACTCAGCTTAAAAAATTGCCATTAGTAGGGAGAAGGCTCAGAAAATTAGATTGTTCAGAATCAGTAAAAGTGATATAGAATGATAAGGCTCTACTATCAACATTCAGTCTGCCCAGTGCTATCTAGCTCTTGATCATAAGCAGTCTTGAATTGCTGTCTAATTTGTTAAAATGTATGGCTTTATATCACACACCATATCAGAACTGACAGGGACCTTGAAGATTCACTTGTCCATCTGAGGCCCAGTGAGGAGACAGAATCTAACCAAAGCCACACAGCAAGTTTATGAGAGAGCTGAACCTATGATAGTCCTAGTACCTATGTCTCTCGATATCTTGGACAATGATACTTCCCTTTTATCACATTGAACACAAGTGCCTGGAGGTGGTTTAGCAGATTTATGGAGTACAACAAAATGTTAGATTCTGTGTTCCCAAGAGATTGTAGGTGCTTATAATCAAGGATTTCTGACTCTGACATGGACTCACAGTGTAAGGCTTAGGAAAATAAACCCACCACTCAATATCGAATGGATTAATAAATGTTCTTAAATTTCTTTCTCTTGGATATGAACATATGTACACATTTGTCTTCCCAAACTACATTCTGAACACTCAGAGAGCAGGGTCCATATTTTTTAACTCCTTGATAGCCCACCACAGTGCGGAACCCACAGTTAAGTAACCAGTGGGTATTCAACAAATGTCAATGATAACTGCCTGACTTTGGAGAAATGCTGTCACAGAGCTTGTTGCCCTAACCTCAGCAGTCATGTGGACTGCAGTGGGTACTCATCATGGCCCCCAGAGAATCTATTGCAACTGAGAATCTCAGATAATTTGAAGTGTAATGTTTCATTGTGGAGTAATTTATATTCCCTTTATATTTTCTGAACAACTTCCTTTTCTCTCCTTGTTGCCTATATGCTTGCACTCCACCTCTGTTCCACAGAGAAAGCAGCTGGTTTTGGCCTCAGCCTGATCTCATTTGTAGATATGAGCTCTCATGCTAATCTCATTAAAGATGGTTTATCATTAAAGCTTTACTCTCCTGGGAAGAATTAACCTTCTTGGAGCTAATTCCCCCACAGCCCTCACAATGCCTGATCATCAGGAACCTCAAGTATCTTTTTCCTCTCCCCTGCTTCTAGAAAGAGGAGAACCTCACAGTGTACAGGAGAGACACTTTTGTGCAACTAACTATTTAACAGAATCTTGTAGGAAATTCTTTAGGAATGAGAGGGTTTGTTTTTTGTTAGTTTCCTAAAGTGGCACTGCCCTCATGTGATAGTGAGAGTGTACTAGGATATAGAAGTAGGTGTATGCTGGGGCCATCATGTTGCCCTAACAGAGAAGAGTCTGAAGGGCAGAAGGTGGCTCCATTTTGAGCACTCTAAATATATAAACATATAAACAAATATATAAACAGTATGTCTTAAAAGATAAATTTATGCCCTGAATTGAGTTATACCCTATAAACATTTGAACAGTTATTTTATTTTATTTTATTTTTTATTTTTATGTTTTTGGAGTCAAAAGGAAAGTTTATTAGAGAAGGGATAACACTCCACAGAGTGTGGTCTCTTCTCAGAGGCAGAAAGTGAGAGCCACGGTGAGAGAGACAGTGAGAGAGAATAAAGGCACTGATGAGGACAGTTGGTTAATTTTAAAAGAGAAGTTAGCACATAATTTTTCACTCTATCAATAATTTCCTTTTAAATTTGATCATGTGTTCCCTAGTACAAGATCCCCTGATGCACTGAAAATCCAAATCAGTTGACAAATCATTGAAATTATATACAATACTTTAGCAACATTACATAGAAAAGAAGCCAAGCAAGAAATAGTTATATATGCCCTACAGGTTGTGACTCCTCTAAGAGCTGCAAGGGACTTTGAAGATGTCAAAAGAAAGATTCTACAAATTGTGGCTGGAAAGTTAAGGGAAGCCCTCTGTAGGTAGATATGAAGTTAGAAGAATTTGTGTTTTCCTCCACTGGTTGTTGACAGTCTTCACTTAACTCCCTGGTTATATAAGTGGCCATTCCCAAAGAAAAATGGATTAAGCTTTGTTTCCTCCTGAGGCTCAGATCACAATCCTTTTAGAGGGAGATTTTGTAATATACCTCCCTTCAGAAAAGTACTATGTGTGGTATATATTAATGAATTATAGCAAAGTAAATGCAAAGAAATTTTGGGGTCAAAGAAATTTGTAATGTACCCTGGAGATAAATGGAGACAGCAAAGTGGTGTGTGTGTGTGTGTGTGTGTGTGTGTGTGTGTGTGTGTGTTGGGCAGGGTGTGGTGGCAGGCAGGATAGCAATGGTTGGTAGAGGGTCAGAGGGTTAGGGAGTTGCATAATGCAAATATAATGGAAAGAGCACAAGATTAGAAGTAAGAAAACTTGCATTCTCACTTTGGTTCTTCCACTTACTTACAAGTCACTCCTGTGCTCTGAGCCCTAGCTGCCTCCTTTACATAATGAGGAGTTCTGGAGAGATGATGTCTAGGATTACTCCCAGCTTCTACCTAGGATTCTATGATTTTAGCTATAGTTTGGAATTTCTGCTTTAGAAAAGGAGCAGCTGGGTTCCTAAGAAGGTACCACCCAAAGGGACTGAGACAGCTGGGTAGGCAGTGCCTTTTGTTTCCTCTTCCCCTTCCTTTCTCTCTTGGATAAATTTCCTGCTATCAGAATTAAACTTTTACTCCCAGTCTCTAAAAGGCCTGTTCAAATTCTAGACTCCCAAGAAAAAAATTTTAGAAAGCCTCTCATCCTCTAGAATCTTCCCCTTCCCCTGTCTTTGTTCCATAGGAAGAGGGGTTTCTTCCTGCAACCCAGAAATTTAAGGTACAATTGAGGTACTGGGAGTCACTGCTCATTTTTGAAATTATGGGCTTCCTTAAATTTCACTGTTCCTTCCCATCCCAAAGAGAAGCAGCCACAAGCCAATACCTATCCAACCCCCAATCTACCCCACTGAAAAAAAGGCAGCAAAGTATTCTTTTCCCTGGGACTCACAAGTCTGTAGCGATAACCATAAGGAGAGGCCAGAGCCCTTCTGGACCGGAGCTGCCTTCTCATGGCTGTTCAGTGGACAAAGAAGCAGCAGAGGCGGGTAAGCGGACAGGAGTTCTGGAGCTTCAGCTGGTACAGGAGACACTGGTTGCTCTGGCCACTGGGCACCTAGTAAAAGTGAACCCTCCTGGCATGAGCCCTTCCCCAAAATAATCTAACATGCCCCTCTCCCATTGGTTGGCCCCTTCCCTGAATCAAAGGAAAGCCCTATGGAAAGGCAAGCTCATCATTACAGGGAGAGGGAGATATTCTGGGTCACGAGAATAAGTGACTCACCCCTCCCCCACCCCCAATTCATGTCTACTCTCACTCCCTGCCCTTCTCTAGTGCCTGAGATACTATGGGCCCAATGGAAATCTTAGGTAGTGTTCTTCTCAATTGAGAGTTGAATATCAGTGTGTGCAGGGGGTAGGGCGTGGGTGGGAGCTGAGAGTGAGGGGAGGTAGCCAAGAATAACTTTCTTTTTTCATAAGGCTGATCTCATGCAAAAGGATCTAGGGTGTAAGAAAAGATTCCCTTTGCTTTCCTTACCCCCACCACCCCTTACACACCAAGCTACCTATAATTTTCCTTATTTGTGTCAATCTAGGGGCTCCTGAAAATGTGGATTATGAGTCCTGATTTTAGAGGCCAGGCTTTTGCTTTATCCCTCCCCACCCTAAAGAAGGTCTTGGGCATAAAGAAGCCTTTTTTTAGCTCACATGTCAGAATGGCCCCATCAGTCACTGCCCCTCACACACACACCCCTTGGAATCCTGGCCAAATTTCTGTAGTGCTTGAGATCTATATTTATCGCTTAGCATTAGGGCAGGGAACAAGCCAGAACTTTGCAGTGTCAGTTTCCCAGACATATATAACTCCTGAAGCCAATGGGAGATCCAACAAAAGAAAAATTAGTAGAAACAGCCAAGAGCATTGTACAGCATTTTTGGCCTGTTTGGTTTACCCCACTGAAGCCTGGGTAGAGTTTGTAATCCTTCTTTCACAAATCACCTCCCCATTACCCCCTGGTGCTGAGAATATTGCAGATACTGAGATTCTGGGCATATTCATAACCAAGAAAACCAGCACAACAGCTTAGATAGATTTATTCATAATTCCAAATCTAGGCTATTTTGATGCAGATAGCTCCAATAGTGGTTAATTTAAAATAAAGACTCCATTTACTAGATTGTTACTCATTAGGACTTTTCCTTGGCAGAATCTCCTCCCATACCCTGATTTTAAAAGAAGACACCACTGACAAAAAAAGAAACTCATTCCTCTTTTTGGATTTTAATAAAAGCAAGATATATTCCAAGGGATAACCTGGTCTCTGTAGACATTGAACTCTACCTCTTACACTTTCTGCACTCAAGCCTTTTGTGTGTTTCCTGATGTTAAGTATGAGAATCCTGAAGCCCTTGGAAGCTTCAAAAATCAAACAAGGGCCAGGTTAACTGGTCTTGCCTCACTATGGCAGAAAAGAGAACAATTATGTTAGCAAGATTCAAAAAACCAAGAGTGGGGGCAGTGCTATTCACAATAGTCAAGATATGGAAACAACCTAAGTGTCTGTCAACAGATGAATGGATAAAGATAATGGAATATTATTCAGCCACGAGAAAGAAGAAAATCCTGCCATTAGTGACAACATGGATGGAGCTTTAGGGCATTATGCTAAGTGAAAGAAATCAGAAAGAGAAAGACAAATACTGTATAATCTCACTTATATGTATGTATAATTCTAAACAGACAAACTCATAGAAACAGAGAGTAGAATGGTGGTTACCAGAGGCTGGGAGTGAGGGAATACTAAACAGTTACTGTTTGGGTACAGAATTTCAGTTTGAGAAGATTGAAATCATTTTGGAGATAGATGATGATGATGTTTACACAACAATTTGAATCTACTTAATGTCAATTAACTTTACATTTAAAAATGGTGAAGATGGGAACTGAGAAGATGGTCAAAGCGTGCAAATTTCCAGTTGTGACAAGAATAAATTCTGGGGATCTAATGTACAGCATGGAGATTATAGTTAACAATACTGTATTATGTACTTGAAAGTTGTTAAAAGAGTAAATCTTACGTGTTCTCACCATAAAATATAAATGGTAATTATGTGACATGATGTAGTGTTAACTGACATTATGCTGTATCTAAATGTACCAAATCACATTATACACCTTAAACTTATGCAATTATATGTCAATTATAATCTCAATAAAATCAGAAAAATAACCAAGAGTGGGAGGACAAAAGAGGACTCGGTTTAATGTGACCTTGGGTAACAAAATATTCCATTCTGCAGAATCTCTTATTCCCTAGCATTCTGGGTCATTTGCTATATACTTAATATATTTTGATTATATTTTGACTATAGCCCAGGCTGCCTTCTGGAATGCCAGTTGTTGGTTGGGGTAAAATGACAAAATCTCATAGGATCTCAAAGACAGAAATCTGTATGAGTCCACACTCAAAAAACTCTAGCTAAAGGAGGAGCCATTCCTATCGATTTTGAAATAAAGGCAATTTGCTTAACAAAGCAGCAGACTGGAGCCAGAAGTGGCCAGTGGGGCTGCAAATAAAGTAGTGGCTACAGAAGCAAGAGGGGAGGGAGAAAAGAGAGGCTTTGAATATGACAGTAGATTAAAAGACAAATTTTTCAAGTCTCTAAAACTATATGCCCAGTCCTTGAGCACAAGTGTTAGCAGCTGATTCTATAAGCCCCTTTTCCTGGTTGCCTACTCCAGTAAAAGCACATGGTTGCTGATGGGGAACAGAAACAATCTTATGGACTAGATCCTCCTGTTTCCAAAAGGAAGAAGAGATGATAGCACTCTTCAGAGAAGTTTTGCCTCTACCATGAGGTGAACTAGTTTATGGCATCTGTTCTTTAAATAATTGTGAGGGGTGGGAGGGGGCATTTGTCCCAGAACCATCAAAGAGCTGTTTTATACTTTACCTACCTAGGGATTTGCTTAATCTTCAGGGAGTCTCTGAGAGGTCATGTGCAGTGGAGCTTAAGAGTCACCCAAGAGTCAGCATCAGAGTTGCAATTGGAATCACCCAGGCATGGTGAGTGCTCTCTAGGACCCCAGACCCTTCTAGCATTCGTGACCTTGTGGACTCTGAAGTCATGGGTGAGGAAACTCTAGGCTTGCCTGGGGCCTGAGGCTGCCTGTGAAAGCTGCCCAGCATAGGGTGTCATCTTTGAAGTGCATGCAGGAGGGGAAACTTATCTGGGACTGCAAAGATCAAGGAAGACTTCCTGGACTAAGTGGGGTTTGGGCTGGATCTTAAAGGGCAATCCTCCAAGCTGAATCAGCTACTGCCCAACTTTGATGATGCCAGTATGGTCCCTAGTGCCCAAAGTTCCCCCTCCTGAACTACCAGCCTCTGAGTAGTGGCCAGCAGGCGTGGCCAGCAGGCTCACTGGCTAAGGCCAGAGGGTTTCCTTGACCTAAATGGTCCAGATAATGGCCCCAGATCCCTAGTTCACTGGGTTCCAGGAAGAACCCTTGGCATATCACATTCCTGAACAGTTTCCATCTGTGGAGTACAGTTGTACAGTGAGAGAAGCTTTCATTTCGAGGGACTGAGGACCATGGGCTTGTGACTGTATAAGCCCAGACTCCCAGGGGGAAAATGAAGGTTTAGGAAATTATGAGATCCTTGTGGAGATTCAAGCCTATTTCCAGAGGCTAAAAGGCATTAATGAGTATAATGCAGGCAAGAGATGTTGGTTCAAACAAACAACTAATTGGAATTAAGAGAAGAAGTGTGCAGAGGCCCCTAATGAATGGATATGCTAATTGGTCTTCTTTGCTAGCCTCTTGAGCTTTGACTGTGACATAGACTAGCCTATTAGATGCCTCCTCTGTAATAGCTGCTGAATGCTAGGGCTCTTTATTGCCATGGTAACCTTAATGTCTAGAGTCTAGCAGAGCCCTGGATCTCCTAATTTACTACTCAGGCAGCTACAGTTCTTTGGGTTTTATTATTCTTCATGCCCCAAGTACCAGAGTGGCAGTGAATCATGCTTATTCATCCTCTGCACCACCCATGGTGTCTTTGAATAAGTTAGGGTGTCTCTTACTGTGTGTAATGAGCAGATTATTAAGTTAGAGCCTATTTCTGCCTTCACTAGACTGGTGCCTCTCAGAAACCCAATGTATCTCTCTAACTGCTTTCTTATCTGCTGCATCAAATGGCTTTTGGCAAGCAGAGTGATGGCACTGCAGGAGGCCCAGCCTTCCAGAAGCCTGTGCTTGCTAGATCAACTGGGAGGACCAGAGGAATACAGGCGGGGCAGTACCCCCTGGGAGAATGAATCTTGGAGACATATGCCATCAAAAGGGAGCAGTTGGAGAGGGAGAAGAGTCATTGCAGAGAGAGTACTGGATGGGAACTGTGGTGCTAGAAGTTTCAGTCCCTCTAGAGGTAAGGGGTATGGCCCAGGTGGAAAAGGAAATCCCTTGTTCTGAGTGACTCCAGAGGAAGGAAGTAGCCCCCAAAGGCTAGAAGGTGCCAGGAGGACAGACTTCACCTTATTTTATAAAAGGCATTTGTTTAAAAAAAAAAAAAAAAAGCTATTTACAGAAACCAGCTCCTTGCCACTGGAGCTGCCCAAAGTTTGGTATTTCAGTATAGAGATGTTCTAAGCATGCATGGCCAGGAAGTGAGGACTAGGATGGAAGGCTTTACTAGATGACCTTTTAGAACTTTTCCAACTTTGAAATCCTCTGTGTCTATATACAATGCTGTTTCATTTATCAGGACATATGCTAAATTTAGATGATACTTTATATGTACACGTGTTTACTCCGACAGCACATATGCCAAAATTGGGGTGATACTCTATATATGTTTGTCTGTGTCTATCTCCTGGCATAGATGAAGCTTTGCAACAGGTGCAGATATTTTCTTGATGCCTCTGTCACTAAGAAATGGGCAACTTGAAACTAAAGATAAGTTGTACAATAAACCCCTGCCTCCTGCCAAATTACAAATGACCGTTGCTAGCCAGAGAAAGTCTTGGGTTTTGTGAGGTTTTTAAAATTTTTACTACAGCATTTGA